CAGTTTTTTCCTGAGAAAGCACTGATGGTCTAAGTGCCGTTCCCAGCTCCTATTCCTGAATGGAAGTAGAGTTTGTTTAATAAACTTGGCTCACATAAAATCTTCCTAACCATCAAATTCAGCTGTAAGATTTTGCTGCCAGGACATTCTTCATCTACAAAGCTTAATGATATTTAAAAGCATGTGATTGCTAATTTGTGTGTAGGAAGTCCTGGATATTAAATTATGAATTAGGTGTCTAAATAAGGCATGAAACTCTAAATTTAAGTCTGAAAATTTAGCAAAAAGATTTGAGAATTGTCCAGATAGTTACATCTGGAGTTTCTTGCTTTCTGTTTTGGTTTTTGTCTTGGTATACATATTTTTAATTGTTTTGCATATACAACTTGAGTTATTATAGGCATCACAAGTCTGTTTTCCCATGTGCCACAAGTCATTCTGTTGATGGTGTCTATTTCTGAATCTATCCCAGAATTCTGTAAGCTAACTATTAAAAGTTTTGCTTATCACTTCGCTTGAAAAATGAAGTCTTTAATTTTAGGATATGCTGACAAATTATAAACAGCTTAACAAGGTGAATTGCAGTTTATGGGTATAAACTCATAAGTATCATGAACCCAATTTAGAATAATTGGACCCCACTGTAATGTGTACTGTTGTGACATGCTTTCAGCATGTTGCTATTTTCTAACTCTCAAAGCCTAAAATCAACAGATAATTTTCATTGTTGATTAGCTGTAAGATGTAAGTTAGTCCCCACGATAAGATCTTAATCCCTTGAAAACTTAAGAGTAGATGATAGGCTGTGGCTATAAACTAGAAATATTCATATAGAATCATATAGAATCAATGAGGGCAGTATGAGGCAACTGCAAAAATGAGATGAAAGGGGGGTTTTGTATAAGGAGAACCACAGTGGTCTTATTGTGAAATAAAAAGGCCAATCTTATCTAAGAGACCACTGCAGAGAGAATGTATCCAGTGGTCATAGATCACTATTTCTCTCATCTCATTCATGCAATAGAGAAACAAGGTTGGATGGTTACACTTACAAATAGCTCCCTAGGATCTGACATTGCAGCTTATCAGGTGAAGCCACCCACGGTCTGTGACACTTGCATACCATATGGATGCCAGTTCCTATCCTGGTTGCTCCACTTCTGATACAGGTCCCTGCTAATGGCCTGGGAAAGTAGCAGAAGATGGCTCAAGAGCTTGGGTCCCTGTACCTAAGTAGGAGACCTCAATGAAGCTTCTGGCTCCTGGCTTCAGCCTGGCAAAGCCCTGGCCATTGCAGCCATTTCCATTTGGGGTTTGAACAAGTGGATAAAAGATTCTATCTGTCTCTGTCTCTCTGTGTGTGTTTCTCTCTGTGTGTATGTAATTCTGCCTTTCAAATACATAAATCTTAAAAACAAACAAACAAACAGCTCTCTATAGTGGTCTAGTGTTATAACTCTCCTAGAGAGGAAGTCTGATAGAATGGCTATAGTAATATTTGAGCACTATAACCTCCTAAACCACATTGTCTGATTTAACATAACAGATTCTGTGGGTGTCATTATTTTTCTCATTGTACAAAATTTAAACGAATCAAAGGAAATAAAATTCTCTCTCCCCATTCTCAATTCTACCAGCTTCTCTCTCTCAGAAGCAATCAGTATATTTCTTGCAAGTACTTCCAGAGATACTCTATGTATGTTAGAGCCTGCAAATTCAGTGATCACATTGCATCATTTTTACACAAATGGGAGGGCACTACCAACAAGATTTTGCTTCTTGACTTTTTTTTCACATAGCTGGCATCTAATACCTGATGTTGAACCAAGGAGTTTCAGATAGTACCTTAGATATTATCTTCATCTTGAAGATGGAAGGTTTGATAGCTGCCTCTGAAATGTGTCCTCATCTGTGTCCCCTCTGCCCCCTTGACTTCTCCCATGCTCCAAAATTTGGAAGATCTTCCATGTATTTTGTGGTTTGGTTTTCCATACCTCTAATTTCAATCAAAAATGCAATTTGCCTTTTTGTTCCTACTTCTTTGGAATGATTTCTGAGAGAAGGGGTAAATGCCTCCCTTATGACATCATGTTAAAATGCTAAACCTCCTCCTATTGCTTTTGATTATATAACTCAAGATGTGTATCATGGGAAACAAAAATAAAAAACTACAACCTCCCAAATCTGAGTTCACCACTTGACTGGGAAGTAGAAATGATTATGATAATCTGGCATAATTTAACAAATGGTTGTACAGAATTTTCATAGCTTCTAATAGTTCTTTCTCCCCCAACTCCAAATTCTCCCATCAACTATCCACAGTCACTTCTCTTTATCATACTTCTTTTGCTGTTTTTTCTTACTCTTCTGACCTTTAGTTGGAATGATACAATTTGTTTAATTCCCTTTCTTTTAGTAATTTTTATTTTTTAATGAACACCCCTAAGATTTTAATATATTTAAGTTTGCATTTTTATAACAAACTCTAAACATATTCAATATCACTTTTCTTCTTGAGAGCACTCAAGGTTCATATAGAACATTTATATAGAGCCCACCAGCTTCTCATGGGACAGTATCAGCATATGGAGTATTCCAGGCATGATAACACACATTTTCACCATCAAATGTGTTTTGGTTTCAGGAATAAGTTATTTGGCCCTCTTCTTAAATATCATATTACCCAACATTACTTACTTCAGCTTTTGTTTGTCACCCCTGTAAAGTTGTAAGTTCCATGACATTCTCTGTTCATTACTCCTCAAACCTGTAACAGTTTCTGGCACATACTAATCTCTACTAACACCTATTGAATTAAAAGAATGAAGAACAAATGCAAAAGACCTCAGTTGGACTATTTACTAAATTTCTCCCACTTACTACTTAAAGTTTTATTCCCTTAATAAACACAAAAATTAATGAGCATTTCTTATACTCTAGAGTTGACTTTACCAATTTCTAGACCCTCTGTGATTCTTTCATTTCAGTTATTTTTTTTTTTCTTGCCAAAATGTGCCTGATAGCAGATCTTCCAGTGAGGTTTTGGAGCAATAAAGTCTCTTAGTTTTTCTATGTCTAAAAATATGTATGTATCTCTTTTTCTCTGAGACTAACACTTCAACTGGGTATAATGGCCTCAATTCAATGTTTATCTTCCAGTTTTAAGACACTATTGCTTTCTAAAAATACCATTGCTGGAAACAAATTGGATTTCAGGATAATTGTCACTTCATTCAGGTGTTGGGTCCTTTCCTTACAGACATTTTGAAACATGTTTTCATATCTGGCTGTGTCTTTCATATGTTTACCACTTTCACCTTTCTAGTTATTTACTGGTATTTATATAGACTGCTACTTGTAACACACTTTCAAGCAGAGGATATGTCTTTTACTCTAGAAAATTCTAAAACAGTATTTCTTAAAACTATTATCTGGCTTCTGTATAATTTCCTTTCTTGCTACAAGATACCTCTTAAATTGGAGTCTATTTTGTATCTCTTTAACTTCTCTTAAACATTTTAAAATAGTTTCTGTCTGTGTGGTATAATCTCAGTGGATTCCTTAGCACTATCTTCCAAATCAACAACTGTCTATCTGTTTTCATCCATCTAGACTTAATTCAGCTTCTACTTGTATTATTTTTCCATCTTGGTTATAGATTTTAAATTCCTTTGGAATTCATAAATGTAGTTATTACCAAATTTTGCCTTTTTGTTTTCATTCTTGAGGGTAAATTCATTTTTCCATTTGCTGACCTGATTCATTCTTTCTTATTGATGATTTTCCTTTGGGATAATTTGGAAGCAGACTCGAGAGGATATTAATGCTCTTTTTCCTCTCACCTTTCTTTATCTGTTGTTTTCTATCACATACATTCATTCCCAGTTTTAAACTAGGCTTATTGGTGGCACTGTGTTCCTGTGTGGCAGTGACACTGGAGATATTTTAAGTATAGGCACGGATCAACAAGTTAGCTTTTCCAGGTTGGTCTACTTTCCCCTGCCACATGCAATTATATTGCTGTATGTTTGCCATATTCTGGGGCACCCACTTTAGCTAATTTTTTATAGTACACAAGTTAATGCAGGATTTATGTAAAACATGGGGAGTGAATATGCTTTCATGAGTGAGTGTGGGCAATTCCATATGGAGATACCTATCGTGAGTGGGCAACATGGATGGACCACATGGATGGACCAGAAGCAAAATTGTTGTTATTTTCCATAGACTCTCACTGGTTGGTTAGGCACCACTGCAGCTCCACATCTTTGGTGGCAAGCCTGACTTTACCCTGCATTGATGGGGCATGATTAGTTCCCTTTACACTATGGAGATTCCTCTTGTTTGAGCACTCTTGCTTTAAGGTACAGTGAAACATCTAATTGTAAATGACCAGAAGTTCTCTTGGAGCTTAGGAAAGAGGTCCTAGTTCAAGGTATAACAGAACAGAGATTATTTTTTTTAAATCAGGATTTCTTATTCATTGGTAAACTTAAGTTCTTGAATAAAAAATTGTATGCAAGATTTTTGTGCAAGTGAATATGGAAGCTAATGTATTTTCCCTCCCTCCCTCCTTCCCACTCCCCACCTGATATTAAAAATTATAGTTACAGGGTTGACACTGTGGCATGGTGGGTAACGCTGCTGCCTGCAGCGCCAGCATCTGCTATGGGTATCAGTTCAAGTTCTAGATGCTCCACTTCTGATCCAGCTCACTGCTAACGCACCTGAGAAATCAGTGGAAGATGACCCAAGTGTTTGGGCCCCTGCATTCATGTGGGAGACCCAGAAGAATCTCCTGGCTTCTGGCTTCAGGTTGGCCCAGCTCCGGCTATTGTGCCCTTTTGGGGAATGAAGCAGCAGATAGAAGATTCTCTCTCTCTCTCTCTGTATCTTTGTCTTTCAAATAAATAAATAAATACATACATACATCTTAAAAAATGATGACTGCAGTTTGCAAATGTCCTTATGTAGTGGTACACACGCAATGAACACAGAGCTATTTTATTTCTTTTATTTTCATATAAATTAACATCCTAGAAAAATTGAAATAGAAACACTAAATACAGTATTGCACATAGCGATCTTTGTTAAATGCCCTATTATTTCAGTGAAGGATGGTAATATCCACCTTGGAGGGACCAAAGGGGACAGGAAGACTACAAAACAATAACAGAAAAAAAAACCCACTACTGTTTCTTTGCACGTAAACTGCAAACTAAAAGGTAAGAGACTATACTTTACATAAATACAAACATAGTTATGATTTAAAACATTGTTTTTCTTTTAAAGTTGCTTTCCATAATTGGTTTGCAATAGCAACAGATGCTCCCCTTTAGTCACAACCATAACCATCCAGGACATCATTAACAGCAATTTTTAAAGAACCAAATATTAATGTTAGACAAAACCACCATAATTTATCATGAGCTGAGTTTAAATTACTCACAGAAAGAGTAGGAAAAAATAAAACCAAATCATTTCCTAGACTCCTTCAGATAATGAATCGTCACATTCTCATTTTATAGCTTTATTCACCTGCTGTAACACACAAATACAATCCCAATCATGTCAAAATACTCAGGCATGTATATATTTATTTGATGAGTTCTAGGTAGATGTCAATCCATCCAAAAAGTTAATCTCCATTCCCTTCCTCCAATGATTAGTCATGTTTGCCAATTATTTATATTCCTTCAAAATGTTAGGTAAAATTCTTGTTGTGAAATGTCATGGTGAAAATTACAGAGGCACATCTTTAGTTTAATTACCTCTGCTGTAGATGAGTTCTTTATTGAATCTCAAAGTACATATTCTGATAAAAGCCCTCAGTAGACTTCCAATACTTATAAGTTTCCTGTATTCACTTATAAGAAATGAATGGTTTTTGCTTTGCTATTTTTTCTATTCATTATCTGATTTGAGTGAAAAAAAGAAAAAGATAATATTCTTTCACAAATATATACTTATGGAGAGCAACCCAAGAGTTGGGAAAGCATTGATCACAATATAGAAATGGTACTTATATTTTAAAATAGAAAATTTATAGGTAGACATGAAACTGATACAAACAACTCACTAGAAATAACATTTTACCCAGAAATCTAAATGCAGTGAAGTGGAGTACTGGTTGTCAGTAGGTAGGAAAGTGTTTTTGCCATGACAAAGAATAGTCCCACAAAAGTAAATTTTAGGTTAATGTTTAGCATGTTCAGAATTAATGCAGATACTGCCTCTTATAACATGCTCTTTTGGTCTATTGGTATAATACCATAAACTTTTACAAAAAGAAAAGATGTCAGTCAAATTCTCCACTGGTCTACTGCTTTTGTATTTTTATATGAGTATACAGTAAAATTCAATAATCAGTAAACTGTCTAGAAAACACAAAGATTATGCAAGAGGTCAAGAAGAAAATTATCTGAATGGATGTAGTTTCCTTCCCACACTCAGGTCATCTGAGTTTTGTGAAAGTTGTGGTGATGACTCATTCTCATTCTGCTTTGCACCGTTCAGGTTTTCATGCTTATCTTTGCTTTCTGAAAATAAATACAGTTAGAAATTATATAGTTAAAAACAAGGACTTTAAAAAAGGAAGGAGTTGAGAGTAGCCCAAACAAGATCTTTTCATTTGGATCAAATTCTTTGGCAAAATGCTAAAGATCCACAAGCTCATAAATGATCAAAAGGTAAGTAAGATCTGTTTTATCTTCACAAATTTTCACCAGGACAAATCAGCAAAATTTTTTAGGAAAAGTTTTAAAAATTTAACTTTTAGGCTGGCGCCATGGCTCACTTGGCTAATCCTCCGCCTGCAGCACCGGCACCCTGGGTTCTAGTCACGGTTGGGGTGCTGGATTCTGTCCGGGTTGCTCCTCTTCCAGGCCAGCTCTCTGCTGTGGCCCAGGAAGGCATGGAGGATGGCCCAAGTGCTTGGGTCCTGCACCCCATGGGAGACCAGGAGGAAGCACCTGGCTCCTGGCTTAGGATTGTAGCAGCCATTTGGGGGGTGAACCAATGGAAGGAAGACCTTTCTCTCTGTCTCTCTTCCTCTCTCACTGTCTAAATCTGCCTGTCCAAAAAAAAAAAAAAAAAAAATAACTTCTAACTGATGTGAGAGAACCAACTCTTCTTTCTCATTCTTAGCCCTATATAGAAATGCACAAATATGAGAACTGAAACAACTGATTCATTTCATGGTTCAAGTACTTTCATCCCCTTCTATTCTAATAATAGCATGATTGAAGTGCATAATTATTTCTCCTCATTCAATATAGTTTTAGAATTGAACTTCATTCAGAAAAGAGCAGCGAATAAACTGAATCATAACAGAATACTTTCCATTAAGATTAATTTGATATAGAAAAATTAAAGGAAAATAGCTTTTACATGGAGATATAATTCTTAACTTTGGGTTATTGTAATGTCTTTTTCATTTACACAAAATAAACCAATCCAATTCAAAATGTTCCTCTTTTAAGGTCTAATTCAACTTTTCACTTAAAATAGCACTATTTACCAACTCTGGTACCAAGTGATGACGCCTCAGAACATATAAGACATTTCCAGTATTACAACGGAAAACTTTTCCTTTCAACCAAGGTGCACAACTTAGAATTTTATTTTAAAGGAAGGATGGGCAAGGAGAGCACTTAAATTAGTGTATTAAACTGAGTCTGTGGGCTGACAGTTTTCACACAGCCAACATTGTACAGTTGTCTGGGATAAAACATAACCATGCACTTGGCATTTCCCACTGTGTTTTAGACCCCAGTGGAGGTAATACCATTATAACAATCACTCTTGTACCATGATGCCTGTGTAATCAGAAAAGAGGAAGTCGGGCTCCTGCCCTCCCTTGCCAACATATACATCTTCACATGTGAGTACATCCGTAACAGATTCACCTTAATTCCTAAGTTCTGGGTACTGAATATTGAGATCCCCTCAGACTCTGGGCCTGATTAAAGGCATAAGGCACAGAAGATTAGTAAAGTAAGAAGCTAATTCTTTATCTGAACTTAACAGGAAAATTTTACAAACACACACACACACACAGTGAAATAGGGTTTAAAAGCCAAAGAAAATCCCAAGTTAAAAGTGAGAAAAGTTACTCACAATTCCAGAGTCATGTCTTGGTTTTATTTTATAAAGTGATTTTCCTTTTTTCTGCCTACACACCTCTTCAGCTTCTTTCACTCTGTATGGGGAGAAGATACATGTAAGTATACAACAAAAAAATCACATAAATAACTGACTCCCCTTATAATGGATGAGCAAGTCACAATTCATTAAGGATTTTAACCATTGGAGAAAATAATGCCACATACACAGAATGTTTGACTTAAAAACAGATTGCTAGAGCTACCGAGAATTATTATTCAAGAGTTCTTAATTTGGAATCACCAGATGATTGACAGACTGCATATACGCACATGAATATTTTTGTGCATAGGTTATACATATTTCATCTTCTATTGCAGGAACTTCATATATGATAAAGCAACAGAAAACCTTAATTTTGGCATTGGTGAAGGTAGGGTTTGCTACATCACATAAGTGAGGTCTTCAAATTATATGTAACAAGAATTAAAATAATTAGGAATATCATACAAAATCACATGCTTACTTAAAATTATTGCAGTTTTACCTTCTATGTCATACTTATCCATGCATGGAAGTCATTTACCAGAGTACTTGAGAAGTTGTTAAAAATTTAGCTTCATCAAGGGTGTGAACCAATCACTTTTTTAAGTGATATCATAAAAGAGAAATGAACAAAGATACAGCCAAAAGGTGGGAGGGAGCAAGAGTAGAAGTTTTGGCTCTGCTATTTAAAATTGATAATATACTAATAACCTAAATCTTGGTACTCCCTCAAAGAGTAAAAGGCTCAATCATTTCATATACAAAAGTATTACTCCTAGTAGTATTATTAGTATGACCCAGAGTTGTTAAAAAGGTTCGATACAATTTATTTAAATTTTTTTAATGGAAAATACCATTAAAATAAATTGCTTTAATTAAATAGTAAGAAATCTGTAAATTGGGATTCTATTAATAAAAGGAAGGAAAACAAACCTATTCAGTTATTTTATTTTTCATTATTGTGATTTTTTTCCTAGGAATTAAAAATTGTGTCATTTAGAGAAATTAAATGAACTGTGGTTTGACCTTAATAAAATACATTTTATGTACATAGATTTTTTTCAGACTAATTTTCAAAAAGAAATGAATTATATGTTTCTTGAATCCTGTGGTAAAAGAGCTAATGACAGAATCCATCTTCTATACATAACCGAATCAACCTCTCTTTTTCAACAATAGAATGAAATATTTCAGAATAGCTGCTCCAAGATTGATGTTGTAGTTTACATTAAAACTTGACAAATGAAAGTAATTCTTTTTTTGTCATAAAATGCCTGCTGGGTTGATATTGCTAGTAATTCCAGAAAATGATGACAATTTAGAAGACACTCCATTGTTACTACTTTTATTACTTTCTACCCAAGCCATAAATTGCCTTTAATCCCTCCTCTAAACATTTGAAGACAAAAACATTTTCTTTATAACAAACTAAGGATCACAGAGTCCCCATCTTCCTCTGAAATAGCTACTAGTAAATTTAAGTTGAAGTATTTAGATTGGGAATTAAGGAAACTTTTTTTCAGCACTTAGTCAAAATCCAGTAGATACCCTCTTAAATTTACTTGGAGCTCTTTAAAGCATTTTTGTGGCATTTAAAAATGTACTTCACAAGTATTTAGATGTCCAAAGCATCTTAATATTCTCCCTATCTTATTTATTTTGTTCTGAAAACACATTTTTGTAAGGATCATGGGAAGCACATTTGATTTTATACAAAAACAAATTCAATCATTCCTTATGCCAGAAATGATGAAAATGGAGGAGAATGTGTATACGGGGGCAGGGCATGAGATCTTTTAGTTCGTCCATTCATTTGACAATCATTTATGGAGCAGGAACACCGAGTCAGCCAATGCGTGCAGCTTAGCTTTAGAAAGAGATTCACACAAGCAGGTCAACACTAGTTATGCATTAAGGGCAACCATCTACGTTAGACCAAAAACCCACAACAGGTTCTTGGAGTTGGTGGACAGAGGTTATATAAATTGTTCTGGCGCAGGTGACAGATGAGCATTGTTTAAAAGATAAGTCTTCAGTTTTTCATAGTTTTCCTGGAAAGGGAAAATGCAACTAATAGCAAAAGAAGAGAAGTAAGACATACACTATAAAATATGCAAAGGTTGAGTGAGAGTCAGACATCAACACATTGAGTTTCTAGAACTATGAGCAGTTGTCTCTTTTGCTGCCATAGATGCCCCACATTACTAGGGACAAATGTTTAAACTGTATTTCTAGCTATGCCTCAGTTTCTTAATTCTGTGCTAGGGTGAGTCAGTTGCCTCATCCTAACCACCTCTGGATATACACACATAAATAACTTAGAAAGCAGGAAAACAGTGCCAGGACATTGAACAGTTATTCTTCTAATTTAGAAGCAGAAGAGTCCTGGAGAGTTTGTCAAAATGCATCCCCCACCTTGCTACGGCATGCTCTTCTTAGTTCATTTATTTACTTGAGAGGCAGAGAGAGCAAGTAAGAGCTAGAGAGTGCTCCTCCATCCACTGATTCATTTTCCAAGTGCTCACAATGGGATGGAAGTCAGGAACCAGGAACCCAAATCCAGGTTTCCCATGTGGATGGCAGGAACCCAATTACTTGAGTCATCACCATTGCCTCATATGGTCTGCAAAGGCAGAAAACTGGACTCAGGAATCAAAAATGGGCACTACCATGTTGGAGGTGCGTGTTCCAAAGGCCAGACCAAATGTCCATTCCCCAGGCTCACTTTGATATATTCTTGGCCCCTTTTGGGGTGCATTCAGAAGTAGCACCCAGCGGAATCTGATGTAGGCAGCCTGTGAACACTACTTTGAGAAACAGTGCCATGGAACTGAGCTATCAACACTCACTAAGGCCCAGCAGGACAGCCAGACTGACCCCCTAGACAACCACACTTCCTCACCCCTCTCTGTTTTGCCAGATGATAAACCCAGACCATGTAAACTTGCTCAGTTCAGCACTGTGTGCATCCACCCCTCCTAAGCATCCTAGCAAATGTTGCTTCCTCCAAACGCCAATTTTATTTCAACACAACTCTGACAACAAGAAATTTTTTCCACACTTTAAGTAGAAAAAAAGAATGTGTCCCTGGAGGTCAGATATGCTGCCAGAGTTGGCAGAAAGAAGAAAAATAATGAGCAAAAAGTCGGTATGGAGATGGTCTGAGCCAGCCGTCGATATTAGCGTCTTCCTACTTGGGCTCTCCATCTGGGCTATCGTGGTGGATTTCATCAGCTGTAATTTTGGGTCTGTTGAGTAACTGCTTGTACATGTTCCATCCTCTTTCCCTCCTGCCTCACCCCTCATTCAATAATGCCTAAAATTTCTTCAACTGCGTAGGAAAGAGATGATCATTTCACAGTTAGACATCAAAGGCTCTAAGTGAAAAGGCATGGCAGAGATAACACATCAAACGATTTTAAAGAATGATGTATATGTCCCACTTGGAAAGCATGAAGGAAGTAAAAAGAGGGACAACATTTTTTTGATAAAGTAAGAAAGCAGTCGCTATGCAGAGAATAAGAGTGTACTGAGAGAAGAAACCAGGACGGAGCTAAAGAAGATAGCCCACAGTCTTCTAAATTTTGTGCACCCTGTGTATGTTGTGCAGAGACACAGCTGTTGTGCCTGACTCATAATGGCATATTCTTCTTCAAAATGTGTTTATTTGAGAGGCAGAGAGAGAGAGAGAGAGAAAGTGAGCAAGTGAGCTGCTATTCCCTGGTTCTTCCCCCAAATACAAGGACAAACTCAGGAGCCGGGAACACAATTCAAGTCTCCCATGTGGGTGACAGGTCTCCAATTACTTAAGCCATCATCACTGCCTATCAGTGTCTGCATTATCAGGAAGATGGAGTCTGGGGTCAGAGGCAGATATTGAACCCAGATACTCCATATGTGTTGCAGGCATCTTAACTACTGGGCCAAATGCTCACCCTGACTGAGTTTTTTGATGTGGTTGCATTCACACCAAGGGGGATAGCCAGAGCATTTATTAATCAAGATTTCACCCTATGAGAGATCTAAAATGGGAAGTTAAATGTTAGATAGATATTTGTGTTGCACTCATTTTCACATCTGATGTTTCCAGCCAGTAATCTAGACAACAGAAGGAAAGTAGGAATAAAATCAAATCATATGGTAATGAAAAACTCTTCAACACTTTTAGTAAATTTGGGGAAAAAAACAACTACACAGAAAGCAGAGACTAGAAGACAGGATATACAGCACTATCTTTTAGATGTCAAGAAATATTAAATGGTAGATAATATCTGTAAAATGTTATGTTAATATTTTTCTATATCTTTTATTGTTTATGAAACTTCAGAAACAAAGAAAATTGTGTTGAATACATTTGAAAGGTAGGTAGTTTCTCCTTAACTGTGTATAAGAAACATCAAAGAATATGAAGCATTCTTTTGCTTTTCAGGATGAGTTTAATTATGGGGAATAACCAAAAGACACATGGAATCAGGTGTGACAAAAAGTAGATAATCAATTTCAGCAAAACAATCTTTGTCCAAAAGCAAAGTTTCACTCTGGCAATGTTCAGAAAAAGTCAGACGAATGACTGAATGTGTGATTTCCAGACAATGGAAACTTTCTCCTCCAAGCACCAATCTTTATACAAGTCAAGTATTTTTTAACAAGTCAAACGTTTCTTTCTGCATAAATGGAATGTTCGTCATTAGTCAGGTGTGTGGTAATATGCAGTGATGATGCAGGCCTCGTAAGAAACCTCAGGCAGCTTGCCCACCCATCGGCCCAGCACTCTGTGTTCTGCTGGCTTTGTGTGTACTCTTAAGTTTTTTTTTTTTTCCCCCATTTAATTTCTTCCTTGGATGGCAGGCTGTGAGCCAGCATGTCTGCCTTAGGTAGAACCTCTGTCTCCTTTTGATAATTTCTGTGTTCTCTAGAGGAGAAAACCAGATAACTAAGCTGATTTCCATGGTGCCTCCACTTAAACCAATAAGATTCTGAATTTAGTTCTAGCTAAACAAATAGAGTTCCTGGACTTGTAGGCAGTAATTTCAGCTGCCACAAAGCTTCAGC